CTTCCCTAGCCAGTTTGGCTCAGAGGATCCCTAGTAGGGGTGTGCAGGAGGCAGCTGATCAGTGATTCATCATTGATGTTTCTCTCTCTCTCTTTCCCTCTACCTTCCTCTCTGAAATCAATAAAAATATATTTAAAAATAAATTAAAAATTTTATAAAAACCTCCCTTAGTATTCTAATTGCAAATGCTTTAGATTCATAATCTCATTTAAGCCAAACCTTCCAACAATCCTAGAAGATATTCTCGTTTTATGAATGAGAAACCGAGGCTTAAGCTATAATAATAAAAGGGTAACATGCTAATTAGACTGGGTGTCCTTCCTGACAAAAGCCAGTCGGGGTCCCGGGTGCCAGAGGGAAGTGGGCGCCAGCAGCGGGGGAAGGAAGGCCTGCTCTGGCACGGATTTTCGTGCATCGGGCCTCCAGTGGTTAGATAACAGCAGAGTCACATAGCTGACAAATGAGGAGAAAAGACAACCTGAGAGCTTGACTTCTTCACTATCTCGTATGGGCTTTGTGAGACTTAAATTAAGCACTGCAAATAAAGTACTTTGTTTTAGGACCGGAACATATTAAGTGTCAAATAAAAGTTAGCTATCATTATAACACCAAGAGAGATTCTTCCCCACTTTCTCCTGTTTATGAAATTCTTTGTCACTTAAATCTTCCACCTTTTTTGGATCCTCCTCTATAAATGTATATAGTTGCCTTCTAAATGAAACATATGACAGTCACTGTACTGACCTGGGCGGGGGGCAGAAGGGGTTCAGAATAGGCCCCCCAAGAAGGGCGTCTTTGGCATGTGAATTCTTTTGAGCTAAAGGCAGTTGAAACCCTGTGGGCTCAGGAGAAACTGCCTCTTCCTCACAAGAATCTAAATTGGGGGCTTTACCCAAAATGAGAATTATCATCAGAGATAAACTTTATAACCTACCTGTAGGGCAAGGCAAACTTCTAGCTACTGAACATCTCTTATCTCCTTCAAATGGTCTTCCTCCCCTTTGAAGCCCTAGGCACCTTACCTCATCTTTAGGGCAAGATGCCATATATACCTCATTTTCCCTGTCTCTTAACTTCTCATATATGTGGGGCTCCCGTACATAAGTGTGTATGTAACTTCCCATACATACTAATATGTATGTATGTATGTAACTCAATTTGGTCATTTTCTGTTGTTGATCTGTCTCAGGTAGATCTAATTATTAGATCAGCTGAAAGAAACTAGAAGGGTAGAGTGAAATGTCTTCTTTCCCCACAGGGCTCTGCCTGGGGGTGCCACGCCGAAAGGAGGCAAAGAGGAGGAGAGAAGAGCCCCAGATACTCTTGGAGAGGAGGCTGATGAAACCTGTCTGGAAGGGAAGCCAAAGCTCAAGCTCTTTGGTACATAATGTTCAGTAAATGTTTTACACTCAGTTTGCTGAGAAGTAGAGAATCAGAGGAAGGGACTAATAAGGGTGTCAAAGGAAAGGGAGCAGAGTGGACACTTACCACCTTAATTTGTAGAAATAAACAGGGTATAAAAAGAAAGTGGGGGGAGTTTGACAAAAAACTCTACCTCAGAGGTCATGATGGTATTACTTCTTTATCAACAACCTTAACTTACTTAGCTTTCATATATTATACTAAAAACTGGGGTGGTAGGGGGAAAGGTTTAGGGGTTTTGAAAGGACCGAGTAATTTTTTTATCCTAAAATTGCTTTAAGATCAAAGCAATTTTAGGATAAAAGAGAACAATTACTAAGATTCAACCGGTTTGGCTCAGTGGATAGAGCTTCGGCCTGCAGTCCAAAGGGTCCCACGTTTGATTCTGGTCAAGGGCTTGTCTTGGTTGCGGACACATCCAGAAAAGATTCAGCCTCTGAGTTTTCAAAGGTTTGCCATAGGGCCGAATTCAATGGTAAATTCTTTGGGTAAGATGCACATTTACCAAGTTGGACATTGTAGCCATTGCCATTTGAAGTTTTGAACCTCCATTCATTGGAAACTTACTGAATACTTGATGACCTCTTGTATTTGTCTTGTACTGTTTTTAACTTTTGAAATACTGAACTTTTTAATACTGTATGTCTTATTCCCTCCAACTAAGACTGTAAGCTCTTGGAGAGAAATGCTTACATGTTTTATGCCCCTCACCCCCATTCCTTACCAAGAGGGTCAACCCTGAACTGAACCTTGAACTCTTTCATTTTTTTGGAATGCCCTTGGGATATGCATTCTGAAAATCGACACAACATGTTTCTAGTGAAAATGTAATGGCCAAGAGCCCAGCCAATGTAAACACATTCTTCACTTTAATGACAAAAGACTGTTTAGAGTTACAGAAGAAAAAGAATGAATTTATTTTACAGTGTGTTAAAATATTGGAAACGAAGCCGCTGAGAGTTCTCTGGATTTTATGCGGCATCATAGTGCAAAGCCCAGGCCTCCCTGTCATCCTTAAAGCTGAACAACTGATTCCAGGCAATATAGCTCCCTCCACCCACACCTCCACCCTCACCCTCACCCCCACCGCGTGGGCACTGGAAGCTGACAGTTGTTTTGCAACAGGGTCCGCACCACCAGGCTATAGACCAAATGCAAACTCCGGGCTTTTCATCGGACAGGCCCACAATGAGAGGAGTGGAGCCTCAGGCAGAGGAGCCACCCCAGAGAGCAGTCCGAGGCCGCCTTCCCAGCATTCCGCTTCTGAAGACAACCCCAAGAAGCAGAAGTGCATTTGTACATGGACAGAACGGTAAGACCGAGAGAAGGCCGGGCACATATGGACGGGGGACATTCCGAGCAGGAGAGCGAGGGCACAGACCACGCAGGGTGACGGAGTCCACCTGCGGCCAGGATGCTGCGTGCTAAGTGAGCCTATGGGCGTGTGACATCTGCTCCGGAACCGGTGGCCGCGCAGCCTGGCCTGGCCTGGCTTCCAGGTCCAAGAGAAGCAGGTGGCTTTGTTCCCGGAATGTGAATGAGGGAGCCGAGCCGCGGCTTAGGGAAGACAATGTTCCCTGGCGGGAGCTCGGCATCTATGCCAAGGCTTGGACGGAGGGTGACACTCACTACCCAGCTTCCCGGCCCAAGCTTCGGAAGGACGGAGCCGGAAGCCCGCAGTGGAGACACTGCCCCGATGGCCGGCACACAGCGCCCTCGGGAAGCCGCGGTGCGGGCCCCGCCGCGTCCCCCAGCGAGAGCCGCGGCTCCAAGCTCCCGCCGCTCTCCCGCGCAGCCAGCGCCGCGTTCCATTTGAAAACAACACCCACGTGCGCCGGTAAACAAGCGCGCGCAGCCCGCGGGGCCGCGCGCTCCCTCCGGGCGAGCCAGTGCGGCGCGCGCCCGCCCCGCTCCCGCACGTGTCGCCCGGCCCCGCCCCCGCCGTTCGGGCGCCGCGCGGGCTCCGCCCCCTCGGCTGGCCGCGTGCCGCCCCCGAGTCCCGAGCGCCCGGACTCCCAGGCCCGAGGGCCCGCGTGGGATACCAGGCGCGCTCCGCCGGGTGCTCCCCAACTGTTCCTCCTCTTGATGCTTCCGCTTCGCGGCGGGACCCACCGCCCCAGGTCTGCTCCTTCCTTCCCTCCCGTCACCACTCCAGCCCTCCCGCGTTCCCCTCCGGGTAACTTTCCCTCCGCACGCGGAGGGCTGGCTTCTGGGTTCTCCTCTCTTACTTCCCACCACTCCTTGGAATTTTTACTCGATTGTTTATTATTTGCTGGAGGGCGGGGGACGGAGAAGAGCGTCCGGGACCCGGAGGATGGGGGCCGCGGCCAGTCAGCGCGCGGCGTGGCTTGACGAGTCCGCGGCGCAGCGAATGGCTTCGCGGCGTGGCGCTCCGGGGTCACGCGCGTGTGGATACCATGACATCATCTGTTTGTACGCGTCCACCAAGCTTGGTGCAGGGGCGGGGCCGTGCGTCACTTGAGTGACAGGGCCCTGCGCCAATCCCGGAGCCCGGAGTTGGCCGGGTGGGCGGGCTCCTGCGTAGGCTGAGTTGGGCTTTTTTTGTGTGTGCGTGTGTGTGTTTGGGGCGCAGCGGAGCCCGCTTTAGACTCTATCTCCAGTGGAAGGATTTAAGAAAAAAAAAAATTTAAGTTTTGATGTTCAAGTAGCATGTAGTGCATCCTTAGTGCACAGATGAATGATTTAGACACTGATCATTGGAAAAAAGACTCGCAAAGAGGTATTTTATTTTAAAAAAAGTAAAAAAAAATGCACAGACGTTTGCAGTCACTTGCAAATTGGAATAAAATTATTTCCCACTCACAATTGTTCAAAATCCGCTCTTGCGTTTAGGAATGGAGGAATCATTTGCCTTTTTTTTTTTTTTGGAGGAATCATTTGCCTTTTTTTTTTTTTTTTTTTTTTTTTGAGTTAGTTACACTTCTCCCCTCGTTTGCCACGAAATCCATGAAAAGTGAAACACGATTGTGGTCCGGCGCCCCGGGTTAAGAGATTCAGCGCAAACCTCTTGGTGCCGGATCAAATCTGAGGGCATCCGCTTATCCAAGTCCCGAAGGCTTGCTTGACCAACATCTTCACTTGTCAGTATTTCCACGCCGAGGTAACCCTTGCCATCTGCGGTCGGCATCTTATCTCGGGTGTTACTCGGTGTCGGGTTCTATACGGGAATCGGACACCAGGGCGTGTACCCAGAGCCCAGCGCAGGACTCTCTGGACGGGGACCTTGGGTGCCAGGCGCCCTGCCCCGGGCCAAGGAGACCCATCACCTGCACCCGCAAAGCGTTTGGGGCTCTGCGCACCCTCTCCCTGCTCCTCCGGGGCCCGCACCGCGCTTTGTTGTCGCGGAGGCTGCGGGGCAGGGAGGAGGGTCCCGGCGGGGAAGGCGGCGGGAGCCCGCCGAGCCCTGGCCCGCGGCGCGCGCCGGGGACCCCCACGCCCGCAGCCCCGGCGGAGCCGCGCCGCGCCGCGCAGGCGCGCACGGAGCGCACAGGCACACACACGGCCGCCAGCGCTCCCGGCCCGCCGCCCAGCCCTCCCCCTGGGCGGAGACCCACCCGCCGTCAGCTTAGGTTGAGGCGCCCTGCGTGTGTCTATAACTTTGTGCAGCCGCCGCGGCGGCCCTGCGCGTGCAAGGGAAGAGGAGGAATGTGGAGGAGGGCGGCGGCGGCGCGCAGGCGGGCCGGCGGTTCCTCGGGCGGGCTTCGGCGGCGGCCGGAGCGCCTCTCCTCCTCCTTCGCCGCGCCCCGGGCCCGCGCGGGAGTGCGCGTCCTCTCCTCCCCTCGCCCCTGAAGGGAAGGAACCGAGGTAGGCGCCGGAGCAGCGGTGCCGCGGGGCGGCCGCCGCCTTCCCGGTGACTCCGGATCTGCTTCCGAGCGGGGCCGGGCGCTTCCCTTTCCCCCTCCCCGTGGCTCGGGCTGCGCGCCCTTCTCCCCCGCGCGCTAGTGTTTTTAAAGGACTTGTGCGAAGAGGGGGGGACACTGTCAAGATGGCAGCAGCGGGAGCAAGGAGGTGAGGAACGTGCTGGCCTGGGCTTTCTTGCGACCCGGGAGACTTGGCGCTGCCCGACCTGTTGGAAGATTTATGTTCTGACTTGCCCCCCTCTCCTCTCCCCTCCGACCTTTCCTGGGGAAGGGGAGGAGGGCAGCGCGACCGTGAGAAAATTAAACCACACAAAACCCCAAAGTGTCCTTTCTGCGAAGCTCGATCCTTTGCGGACACCCGCCAAGCTGCTTGCCCCCCTTCTTCCCATATTTTTATTTTTTTTTCTGGAAGTGACCAGGGCCCGCCTGCACCCGGATCCGCGTTCGCCCTCGCGGCCCGCGGGCGGAGAGGGGAGAAGGAGGCAGCCCGTCCCCTTTAGGAGGGGGCTGGCAGGGGGGCGCGGTGGTTGCAGGACCGGGGATGGGGGAGGGAGGCGGAGAGGAGCCCGAGACGCCAGACTTGGGCCGCGGGAAGTACTTGAGGACGGGCCCGAGCGAAACATAAACAAACGCACGCCCGCCCGCCCGAGCTCGGGCTCAGCGAGGCTGGGCTGCGCCCGCGCCCGTGCCGCCCCCTTTAAAGGCGCGGCCCGCGCCCCTCCCCCGCCGGCCCCTCCCCTCCCCTGCGACCCCGCCCCTGCGGCCCCGCCCTCCCCCTGCGGCCCCGCCCCTCAAGCCCCGCCCCTCCCCGAGCCCCGGAGACCTGCAGCCCCGGCGGCGGCGGCGGGGGGAGGGTGCCACCCGGGGCGGGCGAGCCCGTCCATTCGCCGGCGTCTCCCCCGCGGCCTGGCCAGGGGGCGGTGTCTGCGGCGCCAGGTTCGGGACGCACGTCTGCAAGTCTGCCTGCTCCTGGAGGGCGGACCGGGGCGGTGCGGTCGGGGAGCTGAAGACTTGCCGAGGACCGAGCTCCAGCCCGGGGTAACCGACTCCCCTTTTCTCTCCACTCGCACTTCCCCAGGCGGCGGCAGTAGCGGCGGCGGCGCCCGGGAGTCCGAGCCTTCGCAGCGGCCCCGTCCCTCTCCCGTCGCACCCCGCCCGGGCCGAGAAGGGAGCGCGAGAGCCCGAGCCGCGGGGCGGGCGGGCGGGCGGGCGGCGAAGATGGCAGAGGCGCTGGCCTCCCCGGCCCCGCTCTCTCCGCTCCAAGTGGAGCTGGACCCGGAGTTCGAGCCGCAGAGCCGGCCGCGCTCCTGTACGTGGCCCCTGCAGAGGCCGGAGCTCCAGGGCAGCCCGGCCAAGCCCTCGGGGGAGGCGGTCGCGGATGCCATGATCCCCGAGGAGGACGACGATGAAGACGACGAGGACGGCGGCAGGGCCGGCTCGGCCATGGCGATCGGCGGCGGCGGCGGCGGCGGCGCGCTGGGGGCCGGGATGCTCCTGGAGGACCCGGCCCGGCTGCTGGCGCCCGGAGGGCAGGACCCGGGCTCCGGGCCGGCCCCCGCGGCGGGCGCGCTGGGCGGAGGGACGCAGTCGCCGCTGCAGCCCCAGCAGCCGCTGCCGCCGCCGCAGCCCGGGGCGGCGGGGGGCTCCGGGCAGCAGCCGCGGAAATGCTCGTCGCGGCGGAACGCCTGGGGGAACCTGTCCTACGCCGACCTGATCACCCGCGCCATCCAGAGCTCCCCGGACCAGCGGCTCACGCTGTCCCAGATCTACGAGTGGATGGTGCGCTGCGTGCCCTACTTCAACGACAAAGGCGACAGCAACAGCTCCGCGGGCTGGAAGGTGCGTACCCGGCCCGGGCGGGCGGTGGTGGGATGCGCCGGCCTCCTGCGCCGCGCCGGGCGCCCTCCCCTGCGCTTCGTGGAGCGGAGCGCGCCTGCCGGCCTTGGGGACTGGGCTTGGCAGGGAGCCTAGGCTGTGGGTCTTTGGGGAGTTTTGTGTGACCCCAAAGGAAGGGTACCCCGGGGCGGCAGAGGGGAAGGAGGCTCCCTGGAAAGTTTAGGGTTCTGAGAAGGGGCAAAAGGGACTTTGGAGAGAGAAGGACAGACGAACGAGAGTGTTTTTGCTGTGTTCACCGGACAGCGCGGAGCAGGTAGGTCCGAGGCCAACTTTGGAGTAGAATGCACCCTAGTGGGGGTGCGGCGAGGACGTGGGGGTGAGTTTGGGACTCGGAGCCTGGAGGAGGAGTTGGATCTGAGTTTTCCAGGGGCTGGGTGCGTTGTCACCGGCTGGGTGAGAACCCTTGGGTCCAAGTTTTGGGCTTTTGTGGGTGTTCACTTCCACAGACATGAAGCTATCCTAGGAAAAGCAGTGGTTGCAAACATTTCACTAGTGGGCTCTCTGTGAACACCTTTATTGCTCAGTGACTCTGTCCCCAGTAGCCTCTGAGGTGTTCTGGGGACTGGAAGAGGTCAGCTCTGCCGTCTCAACGGCGTGGCCGCACCTGCTGCTCTGGCCCAGGCCTGGACTCTGGCCTTGTCTGCTGTGGGTTGCAGGTGTGCAGGCCTGCAGGCCCCGTGCCTCACTTAGGCCTTTGGAAGGGAGGTTTGGCGGCAGGGCTAGGCTGTCATGGCTTCTTCCAGTAAGTGAACCTGAAGAGAGGCGCTCTACTGTTCCTTTTCAGCCTCTTGGGGGCACTGGACACGTGGTAGGGAGAGAGGTGTGGAAAGGCCTATGATGTAATGACTTCCTGCAGTTGGGCATCGAAAGAGATTAGCTCCTGTGCCCTTGCTGATACCCAGCTGCTTAGCTCCTCCTGGCCCCTTTCCCTCAAGATATGAATGTGTCCGTGCCAGGCAAAAGACTCCTGCGCATTTGGAGATACTGATTGCTTATCAGTTGCTTATATTTGCAATTAGTTGCTTTTTTTTTTTTTTTTTTTAATTAAAGAGTTAGTTGCTTCCTCCTTCTGTCCCTTCCTTTATTGTCTTTGGGGAGCCCTGTCTCTTCCTCGGTTTCAATAGGTGTATAAAATAACTTGTAGTGGAGAATTGAAGCGCTGGAGAGGAGGCTGCATATGAGAAACTAAATAATTTAGTGTATTGAGTTTTAATTTGCTTAAAAATAAAACCCTTGTAAAGTTCCTTAAAAAAAAAATTATGGCCACTATTGGAGAGGCCTTGCTTAGATTTAAACCTTGTTTAGATTACAGACTTTAAAAGCAAAATGTGTGCTTTGATATTATTCCACAGATCTGTTCCATTTCCTTTAACAAATGCTGACAGTATGAATGCTACAAATGATTTAATTTTATTGCTTTGCAAAGGAGTGCCAGTTGTGTGATATGAGGGCTCTTCAGAGAAAAGCCGAGAGTTCTGTTCCACAGCAGGGCTTAATGTGTGATACCTTTTAAAATTGAGTTTCCAGGTGGACTAATCTCAGTGTACAGTATCAGGGAGGGGTGAGTTTACCGGATCTAAGAAGATAGGTTTTGGGTTTTGGAGTATTTTTCAAATCTCTCACACTTGGAATTTAGTCCTGCATGTTTTGAATTTGGTACATAGATACTATTGTAAGTTAGCTAACTTTCAAGTTAGTTAATAAAGTTAATTTTCAGCTTTCCTATGATATTACCATGAAGAAGTAATTTCATGCTATTGTGCTTATAGGTTAAAATAACAGTTTGGTAACATTTGATTTAAAAAAAAAGTTATGTGAGAAAGTAGTATTATCCAAAGTATCCATGAATTGCTAATTATATTTTTATTATAGTTTGCACAATTTGAAGTAGAGATTTTGGGCCTAGTCATAAACTTGGTGGTTTTATGTCCTAAACATTTTTTGATCTCATAGTTCCTTTTTTCTTTCTCTGCTGACTTATTTCTCTTTAACCAAATTTTATGAAATATTGAAAACTGAAACTCTCAAGCCTTAATATGTTTAATACAGGGCACACATTTTATGATTATTTTTATTGTAAATGATTACATCAGTTCCACTTCTGAGTATTATATAATAACTAATTCTTGAAGACTATAGGGATATCATTTAAAGAGTTTTTGTAAGATGGCCTTTATAAAAGATGCAGCCATGCAAGAACTCCCAAATCTTTGATGAGGGAGAAGGCCCTTTGAACCTGGGGCTGGTTTCACATTCTGATTATGACTACTAGCCAACCCTATTTGTGCTTGTGGGTTAGTGAGGGCAGAAGAAGAGGGAAAGGGGAGAGGTCAGGAGATGATTGTGACCCATATTCATGGGTCCAAGTTTCAGGAGTTGAATCCTATCATGATTAGTCATTTTGGAAGCATCTGTGTGCACTTAAACCACATTACTTTCATTCTGAGTTATGTATTTGAGTTTTTAACCTCTGAAAATGTCTAGAATTCAGGTTACTGTCTCCTAGAAATGTGTGTGCATAGGCACAGTATGCAGGGTCCAGGCCTCACTTCTTTCGTGGCTTTTCGGGCCATTGCATTGTGAGTGCCTATAACCGGAATTGTGACCCTAAGCTAGGGGTGTCGAACTCAATCAGAGAAGGGGCCAAAATCTAAAATCCAGCCTAAATCGCGGGCCGAATGGTTTACTGAACAGTCATAAACTGTCATTGTGATGGAAACGCAGTGGAGTGCAGTGATGACAGCGCGGTGCAGGCCACATTGCAAGGCCTGGCGGGACGGATTTGGCCCGCGGGCCTTGTGTTTGACACATGTGCCCTAAGCCATAGAACGAAAGAGGCCTTGGAGATGAGAGTCCAATCAGTGGCTTGAAGCCCAGGTGCATGTTAGAATCACCTGAGAGCCTTCAAAAAGTATCGATACCCAGAGAACCTGACTTAATTGTGCTGGTGGGTGGGTTAGTAGTGTTTATTGTTCAGGGAGGGAGGGAGGCTTGACGTTTCTCAGGTGATTCTCAGATACAGCCAAGATGAGGTTTGCTGATCAGCCCTTCATTTAATAGGGGAAGAACCTGGTTCTTGAAGTTAATGACTCTCCTAAGATCACACAGCTAGTTAGTACAGAGGTGATTAGTCGCCGCCGTTCTAGAGATCTTTGTTCTTAATCATACGGTTTTCCTCTTTAGGTTTATCTTTTTTTTTAAAAGGTCGTTTACTAAGTAACTCGTGTAGCCTTAACATAAGTAGAGACTGTTTTCTTGAAAAACAAACAAACGGATTTGCCTCTCAATCTAGTCTTGGTTATTATTTCAGCATTAGAAAGACAGGTGAATGTTGATGGAGGCTGAGGCGTGCATCCTGTTTGTAGAGCTGTCGAGTGCCTGTCAGTCTGCGCATTTGGGAATATGACGTGATAAAAGTGGCAAAAAAAGAAAAAAAAAAAGAAAAAAAAAAAGAAAGATTGCATTTTAACAGAAAGAGGATGTTCTTGGTTAACTTAGGTTTGTCAGAGACCTGCTGTGCAGGGAGAAAGGTGATGGCTATCTCGCAGGTTCCCTCACCTCAGGCATTCAGGCAGAAGTGAGCAGTCAGATGTGGTGAAGAGAGGAAAAGGCTGCATTTCCTTTAATTCCCTTTAAACTTACTTGCACTGCGCCCATCATTGCACTGCTGAGAGTGGTTCCTCCTGACTTGGGCAGACCTCAAGGACTCCAATGTGTGCCTGGAAAGGCCTGTTGACCACTTGTCTCCTACGTGCACGCACACACCTGCTTCGCCCCTAGATCAGGGCACTGCGATGGTGCGCAGCTATGAGTTTCTGTGGCGGCTCACACAGCTCCACAAGTGAAGGGTCCCGCTGCCGAGGGTGATTCTTCAGAGTCTGCCTTCGCAGGGTAATGTGCACTCATAGAGCGTCCTCCCCCGGTCAAGAGCGGAGGGCCGACCTGCCACATACATCTTGTTTAGGTGCCCACGGTTCCAGTTTTTTCCAGATGAATGCATTCAGTTCCTTTTCAACATACTGTATTAAGAAAATGTTATTTTAGCTGCCCCTTTATGGTTAAAAAAATACATATTTAAAGTTTCAAAATGACAAAGTCATCATAATCCCACATTGTCTCATAATTTTGACCTTAGTCACCTTTGGGGTAGCTCACCAAAGGGCCAGTGAGGGTGGTTGTGTGAGGAATCTTCCTTTTTGCTGGGCCCGTGTTGCCAAAATGCTATTTTGTAATTTCCTTTGGCAGTACTGTCATCGTCAGTGATTCTCAACTAACATACTTCCTCTTCCTACAGTAGCAATACACTAGGGGAACTGTTTTCCTCTTTTTCGAAGCTGTGTCATCGACCTGTGAAGTGAAGAAATGGGCCCTTTTGGACTTTGATCTGTGAGCCCTATGTAGCCGAGAGACTCTTTAAAAAAAGAAGCGAAGTGTTTGTTTTGATATGTTTATCTCCTTAGAAAATGAAATGAAACTATGCAGACTTATTTTTAGGAGCTTTTAGGAGAGTTCTATTTTAAGAGACTGACACCATACAAGAACATCTTGTAGTTAAACTTTTTTAATGCTCGTGATTCTTACTTAAAACCTGCAAGATATTTTTATTTGGTAAATTAACGAAGAGGCCTCGTCCCACTAAAAAAGTCATTTACTTGCTCTGGAAAAGTTAAGCAGACTCCATCCATCCAAAGGTCTTGATTAAAAAATGCAAAAATAAAAGACTTGCGTAGGCCTGTGAGTTCTGGTGAGGTATCCCACTTACCCATTGCTTATTCCTGAAGCTCGAGAGAGGATGGGATTTATTTTGCTGTCATACACACTGATCTTGCCTGTAGGGAACAACCTTGAACCTATTCTTGACTCCTCATTTTTCTCCACACCTTTTCCTGCATCATAAATTGAGGGTTCCTGAAGATTCACTGTGGCTTTTTGCTGCTGAAGAA